GTTACAAAGCCACGACGAATGGTTTTATAAAATGAGTTTTATTTCATGTTACTCTGTAGCTACCCAGGGCATTTCATTTTCACAAGGCTTTGGGGGGCCACACGAGTCTCCAGCAACACACAGTATAGTGGTCCAGCTCCCTGGGACAGTTGCTGTGCCAACTGTACACCTTCTGTGTTCAGAGCTCTGTATGAAAAAGAACTCAAGTTTTAGACTTGAACTTGACTGTTTCATTTCTCCTCTCAGCATATTTCTTTAAAAATGGCGTTTATTTAAATTTTTTCAAAGGCAGTGTTTATATTCTGGCAGCGATACACTACTTCTGTGATACAGCTACAAAGACAGAAGACAAACATGAATTTTTATTAGGAAGTCAGGTTCTCAAGTCCAAGAGCAGCATTTCTCTTGACTAATGTGTAGTATAGAGTGATAATTACAGATGTGGTGCCGCTTGGTCTCTGTGACGCACAGGGTTGCCCAGCAGAGGTCAGGAATAAGGTCCAAATAACAAACATTAAGGCACTCCCAGCATGGTCCCAAAATGTTGTTCCCAATCTTTTCAGTTACCTGTACTGGATTATTTGTGAGCATAGAACTGTTCTGTAAACCCTATTCTGAAAATCAAAATAAGACATTTTGCCACTGTAGCCCTGGGAGGTAGACCCCATTTTTTCATTCCATGGAGGCTTCACTCAATTTGATACTGTTCCAATAAGTTCTAAAGATAGCATTTAATCCCAGACTGAACCAGGACTTGGCTTCCACTAAACCTTCTTGTGACTGTTAATCTTTATCAACTGAATTTCAGCCATCTAGGAGACTTGCATCAGGATGGGTCTGTGAAGGTTTCCAGAGAGATTTAACTGGTTAGAGAGTGACCACTCTGAATTTCAGCAACATCAACACATGGATGTAGGCAAAAGTTTCTGTCATGCCAGGTACTGCTGCCCTTCAGCCTAAATAAGCACACAAATACTTATATTAATTTATGTACTGTTGGCCAATGGCTTAGGCTTCTTATTGACTAGCTCTGTCTTAATTAGTAACCCATTTCTATTAATTTATGTATTGCCGTGAGGCTGCGGCTTACCCATAACCCAGCATGTTACTCCTTTGGCAGCATGATGTCCCTTGGAGACCTCTCTTCCCTCCCCCCAAAATCTCATCATCTGGTAACCCTACCTATACTTCCTGCCTGGCTGCTCCTGGACAATCAATGTTTTATTCATCAACCAATAAGAGAAACATATATACAGAAGAACATCTTCCCTCCCACGGGCTAGAGTCATGGACTGAGTGACAAGGCAGGCGAGTTGAATGTCAGCATTCATCTCTGCCTGCTTCCTGGCTGCAGATACAATGTAACCAGCCTCCGCACACTCTCAGCATCATGACTCCCTCATGGCTAGAGACTATGCCACCTCAAACTGTGAGCCAGATAAACTCCTTCTTTAAATCCTTCTGTGTTGGGTATTTTGCCACAGCAGGCAGAACTATAATTAATATACTCTCCCAGATGGTCTGTAGGGTAGACTACATTCTTACTTACAAGCATGCACTTTCAGGGTGGATTGTCTCTCCTCATTTAATCCTCTCTGGAAACTCCTTGGCAAAAACATCCAGAGGTGTGTCTCCTAGGTAATTATAAAATCTTCCCCGAGGAAAAATTATCATCGTCTTCCAATCACGTGCTTGTCTTGTTTGACCTCATGATCTACTTTACTCAGTAAATTAGAAACAGACATATCTGACCCTGTCCGGGACAGTGTGTAGCCATAGCACGGTCTTCTGGGACATTTTCCCTCCCTTTAACGATCCCCTTGTGTTTCAGAGAGCCTCCTGAGTGAGCAATGGAATTCATTAGATGTGGATAATGATGTTTCACAAAGAAATCTTGTTAGTTTGATAGTTTATTCCTGAATCATTCGGGTGACTGGCAGCTTCTGGCCCAGTCAGTTTGACTTTACTGCACTGCACATGTTTCTACCATGGTATCTAAGATGCCACCTTGTCGATGAACACATGTGCTTCCCTGCTGGGAGGTTCACTCTTACAGGTCAAGGGCCAGTGTGGGTACTGTGTTGCTATTTGCTCCAAAATGAAACATTCGATTACGCCTTATAGAATAAGTCAATTTACAAAGACTCAGGAAGACCCTGAAACTTAACACCTGGCAAGGCACCTCCTCAAGGTAATAGGGGCAGTGCCCCTGTTTGGGAGTGGAGACCTTCCTTTGACAGCTGTGCTACCTGCAGGAAGTCCCAGGGTGCAGCCTTCATGAGTTATCCATGCTGGGGTGAATGTCTCAGCGATGGGACCGTTCATTTTTGAACCACCCGGGCTTCTGAAAGTAATCCCACATTCATAATCCTGTGAAGCCCAATAAACTCATTGGTTACTTGTCTACACTTGTTTAGAATCATTTCCCTGCTCCTACCCCAGGAAGAGATGCTCAGTAGGTGGGGATGGGAGGTCTTATTCTGGAACTCTGAACACATCAACACATCATAATAAAAGTGAATTTTGCTTTAGTTTTAGGGATGGGGACGTGGTTCAGAGATTAAACCATGCACTTCCCTTCAAGAGAAGCCCAGTTAGATAGATTCTCAGCACCCAGATCATGTGGATCACTAGCACCCCATCTCCAGGGGATCTGATACCTGTTCTCCACAGGCATCCAAACTCACATGCTCATACCCCTCCCATACATGCACACACATAGTTGAGAATAATCTTAAACAATGTTTAAAGTGATTTTGTTTTGTGTGTGTGTGTGGGGGGGAGGAGTTTGCAAATGAATGTCTGACCATCAGATGAATAAACAATTGTCTCTGTTGCCTTCTGGCTCCAAGAACCATGTTTAGTGCCAATCCCTTTTAATATATCAGTATCTCCTCTCAAATCCCCTGACCAGTGGGTGGCATTTGCTTTTTCCACATGAAGTCAGATGCAGACGGGTCTCATGGAGTCCAGGGTGGTCTCCAACTCTCTATATAATCTAGGACAAACTTGAACTTTTCATTCCCAGTTTTAAGCTGTGTTGGCTGCTGGATCAAACCCAAGGTTTCTTGCACATTAGGCAATTACCTAGTGACTGAGCTACATCTCAGGCACTCATCACTATTTTTTTTCCCAAAGGAGTTACCAAGTTTAATTCCAGGAATTCTCGCTTATGCTTCGATCACCAACCTGATCCCTTTCTCTGTAGTGAAACTCAATACATCAATAGTGGGTGACCATCGGAGAAACACACAGTATCTCCCTAACACCAAGTGGACTTGGTGTATTAATGCAGTCAGCCTTTATGGATGTACAAGGTTGCACTCCACTACAGTAGACATAACCGCACTTGCTGGAGGATGTAGGATGTGACACTTCATAGGAAATGACATAGGCTCCCAGTTAAAGCAGGATTTTTGTGTTAGCCCATTGGAGGCGGAATTACCAATGTAGCTCTGCATGTAGTTGTCACAGCACGCCTTGAAGTGGCATCAGGTGATCTTTCCCACCATACCCACAGTCTGGTTTGAAAAGCTCCAAGGAGAATTCAACTTTAAACAAGATGCTTGTTGGAGGAATGACAAAGACATAAAAATAAAAGTACCCACTGATTAAAATTAAATTCACAGTAGGAACAAGGCAGGGATGAACTCTCAGGAGCTTGGAGGCATATACAGTAGAGAAAAATCTCATCTGAAGACTAGGTGAATACTAGATCTTTCTAATCTGTCTGCTGGTTTGAAAGAAAGTGGCCCCCAAAGGGAGTGGCACTATTAGGAGGTGTGGCCTTGTTGGAGTTGGTGTGGTCTTGTTGGAGGAAGCGTGTCTCTGTGGGGGTCGGCTTTGAGGTCTAATACATTCCCAAGCCACACCAGGGTGACAGTCACTTCTTGTTGCCTGTGAGTCAAGATGTAGAATTCTCAGCTCCTTCCCCAGCGCCATGTCTGTCTTTCAAGCTGCTTTGCTTCCTGTCATGATGGTAATGAACTGAACCTCTGAACTGCAAGTGAGCCACCCCAGTGAAATGTTTTTCTTTGTAAAAGTAGCCGTGGTCATGGTGTCTCTCCACAGCAATAGAAGCCCTAACTTAGACACTGTCACTTTGTTTCCTTCATCTCATGGCTCATCTCCATGTCTGCCTGACTAGATTTAGTACCAAGTAGGAGACGTATTTCTGGGTGTGTCTGAGAAGTTTCCAGAAAAGTTTAACCCAGGAGGAAAGGCACACCCTGAATGTGGGCAGTGCCACCCCAGGGGCTGTGGGCTTGCTCTGAATCAAAAGGACAGAGCTAGCTGAGTAACAGTGTTTCTTCTTTTCTCTTCCTGACTGTGCACACGGTGTGACCAGCTGCCTCACACGCCTGCTGTCCCCTTACCCTCCAGGCAGACTGGTCCCCTCTTGCAACTGTGAGCCTAATAAACCCTGCCAACCAGATAAATGTCCCTTTTGCCAGTATGTTATCCCAGCAAGGAGATCAGGAGCTAATACAATTACCATCCCAGAACAAACTGCTGGCCACTTTGCCTGTCCCAAACTTTGAGATATTGTAGCAGCAAAGGTTGAAGTCAGGGAAATAAAAACGGTTCATGTGTACAACTCTTAAATGTCAGGGCAGTCCTGAATGAATGGGCTCTGCTGCTGCCTTAAAATAGGTTCCCAGAATGCCCCAGGAACAAGCAGTATCATATTTACCTTGGGACTTGTGTGTCCAGATCAGACCCTGCAAGACAGTTTCTCCAAAGAGCTGTTGCTATACTCTTATCAGTTGGAGAATGAGGCAGGAGGATTGCTGAGAGTTCAGGGCCAGCCTGAGCTTCGTGTATTGCTTCTGCACGCCAGCCTGAGCCACATAGTGAGTTCCAGGATTGAGTCCGGCTCTGACTCAAAACAAACAAACAACAAACAAAAACTGGTGGATGGGGTGGGAGGAAGGACAGGAAGAGGAGGGGAACAGTGGGGGGAGGGTCAGCGAGACCTGTCCCATGGCCCTGCTGCCCCAGCCTTCCCCTGAGGCTGATGGGCTGCTCTGCCTGTCCTAGTGACAGGCCCCTGGCACCCATTCCCCACCTTCCAGAAAGGGTGGAGGGACGCTGGCCCTGGCTCAAGCTGTGCCTTCTTAGAGAGCCTCCGGCTGCCTCAGGAGGCGGGCGCTGCAGCCTGGGTCGCACAGAAGAGCAGTGGCGGCCTTGCCCTGGTCCCTAACTGTCTCTGCCTGCACCTGCGCGATCCAGAGCGAGCCCCACTACAACCGCAGCAGAGAAGCCAGGAGCCTCAATGAGCCACGCCTGTGCCAGTGACTGTCAGGCCACCAGCCAAGGTAACCACCCCATCTCCCTGGACTTCAGGGTCCCCGAAGCTGCTAGTTAGTTGACCCAGCAGACAGCAGACAGGTGATTTTCCTCCTCCTTAAGCAGCGAGGCAGTGTCAGACGTTATGAGTTTCATAGGTTTTTGTTTGTTTGTTTGTTTGCGTTTTTCTAGATCTTTTCTGTTGAGTCTTGAGTTAACCTTTGGGAGTTCAGGGCAGGGAACTCCGCGGGACAACTTCGAGGGTGGGGGATGGAATACCAAGCTAATGAAGGCATCAGCTTGGCACTGGCTGCTGTACTGCATGGGCTCCCAGCCAGGGTGCCAGCACTTCCCCAGAAAGACTGACAGTGCAGCTTCTGCTTTGGGACAAGGACTGCACAGTCCTACTGTTCTCCTTCCATGCGACACTCTAAAAACAGATCATTAGCCCACAGACAACGCAGTGTGCTTGGGATCATAAAAATCTTCGTTTAGTGGTGAGCCGGTAGAGAAGTCTTTCTAACTTGGGTATCACCTGGTTCTGTATCTTTAAAACAGTATTTCCTGATTTTTTTCCAGGGGAGGATCTGGGACTCCTTTGCACATGTGATGAAATGTCCCTAGCCTGTCAACACTAGCCTACAGAGATACAAGTGTTCTAATGGGCAAAATGACTTCAGGCTGGACCCCCTAACATTGTGCTGCTGCAGGCATTGTCTCCCCTTTGAAAGGTCACTATTGTTCAAATTCTCACTCACTGGTTAGTTGTTGACCTTTTAGGAGCCCTCCTCCAGGAGTAACTCCTCTTTGTATGAGACCCTTTGGGAAGGCTCTGAGCATGGCTTAATGAGGTCTCCTTGGAGTTCAAAAACTCCCTTGGGCTTCTGTTCTTCGGGTAGTCAGGTAACCGTGCCAGGGGACCCTGGAGCACCAGCCGCTTTCAGAGTTGGGTATTTTGTTCAGTGGCTAGCCAGGCAAGGACTCTTTTGCAGAGAGAAACCTTGTGTAGTCCATCTGCTGCCATTTGCTGCTCCAAGGTGAGTGCCTAACACAACTACCTCCATATGCTTTCCAAGTGATTCGCCCTGTGCACTCTCTCTCTCTCTCTCTCTCTCTCTCTCTCTCTCTCTCTCTCTCTCTCTCTCTCTCTCTCTTTCTCTCTCTCTCTCTCTCTCTCATGCTCGCACGTATTTACGTGTGTGTGCATGTGCAGGTGCAGCTGGACCCAGGTGTACATACACATGGGTGTGGATGTGGAGGCCAGAAATCAACCGTGAAGGTGTTGTTTGCCTCTCTGGAGTTATCCACCTTGTTTATTGAGATATCCTCTCACACGTTATCTTAGAACACTCCAAATAGACTCTGCTGGCCAGCAAGCCCAAGACACTCTCTTGTCTCCAGCTCTGGGGTCACAGCATGCGCCGTCACACCCGTGTGTATAGTATTTTATATATGTATATGCTATATTTTATACAGGTTCTGGGAAGTGAACACAGGTTCTCATTCTTGCAAGGCAAGCCTTTTTCCAGCTAAGAGGTGACTCTCTATCTGCATCCTGTGGGTAGCTCAGGCTGGCTGCATACTCTTAGATGACTGGATGACCTTGAACTTGTTACTCTCCCTCTTCTACCTCCTGAGTCCTCTCATTAGGAGCATGCACCACCATGCGCAGTCTCATGTACTGGGGGTTACTCTCCCTCTTCTACCTCCTGAGTCCTCTCATTAGGAGCATGCACCACCATGCGCAGTTTCATGTACTGGGGGTCAAACCCAGGGTTTTGTATTTGCCAGGCAAGCTCTCTACCGACTGAGCCACAGTCTTAGTCCCTTTCATTTTAAGTCTGAGTTCCTGAGAGACCTGCAGGCTTAGCTCTTAGCCTGTCTGGCTGTCCCAGGGCAGGCAATAAAATGATAACATGCTTGCACCATATGCTTGTTATGGTGTCTGTAACAGGTATGGGACCTGCCTGTCAGAATCCATACATCCTCAAGGATTTATAAGACAATAGTGCAGAGTGACATTTGATAAGTCCATGCAACAGTGTTCTTGTCTTCCGCTCTCTTGTTATGATCTAGGCATCTCTCATCCAGGAAAAGTTGGAGTGTTAATTATATTCAATTCCATTGCATTTTATTAACAATAAAAGATTCTTTTTACTCAAATTATAGTTCTCCCTATTGAAATAACACCACCATCCCTAGAGTGCTGTGTGTTACATTTGGTTATTGTTGAAAATAACGTTTACAATGGAAATCTGATTCCCATTTTAGTGTGATGGGTGACAGTGTTTTCTGTCCTTTTGAAACATTACTTGCCTGTGCTGGGATAAGACCTGTAGGCAGAGATACTGGAATGAAACTGAACCCTTGATAAAAAGACTTCAGTAGAGTTTTTTCTTCCTCCCTTTTCCCCTCCGTGTGTGTGTGTGTGTGTGTGTGTGTGTGTGTGTGTGTGTGTGTGTGTGTGTCTGTCTGTCTGTCTGAGAGAGAGAGAGACAGAGAGACAGAGAGGGAGGGAGGGAGGGACGGAGGGAGGGAGAGAAAGACACCTTTATTTTTGTGTCTTTCCCTTTAACTTTATTTTATTTTCTGTGTTTGAGTGTTTGGCTTACATGTATGGCTGTGTACCATGTTTGTGCCTGGTGCCTCCAGAGGCCAGAAGAGAGTGTCAGATTCCCCTGGTTTGGGATTATAGGTGGTTGGTTGTAAGGCCCCATGTGGGTCCTGGGCATCAACCCATTTTCTTCTGGAAGAGCATCCAGTGCTCTTAACTACTGAGCCACCTCTCCAGCCCTGTTTCAGGCAATTTTGGTGATGCTAGGCCACATTCATATCAGAGTTGCTGTTAGCACTGCTAAATTCAGTTTTAAGATTGTTGCCAAAAGCACTGCCAATATTTTAAGTAACTTTGCAATCAATTTTGTTCTAGGGTTGCATTCATAGCGATCCTGGTGTGTATGTGTCCTGTGGGGTTTGCGTTGGACATCTTAGAATGAAACCCAACCTGGGCAAAATCTACCATGTGGCAGTTCATTCTGCCCTTGCTCTGCCAAGCTACCAGATCATCTTATTTAAGCCCATTAGTAAGTTGGTAGGAAGGAATCTGTTATGAGTGCAAATGGTTACCCTGGGTGTCCACGCCAGGGTTGAGTTCAGCGTCCACATCCTAGCAGCTAGCCCCTGACTCTGCAGGTCACTAAAGTGAGCAGATGTCCTGGAGTGATATCCCTTGCCTGCCTCTCAAGGGCCGCAGAAGGTACTAGTAAGGAGCCTGGGATGAGACTCTCATGTTATGGGAGTGAAAGGTGACGTGTGGACACAGGGTAGGCAGTGGGTACTGCTCCTGTGGGAGAACCTTCTGGTCGCATGTTAGACAAGTTGGCTCTGAGGGGCAGGGCATGCTCTCAATAGTCCTTCTCCCAGGGCTAGTTATAATCCCTCTTGACCATGATAGATAAGTAAGCAGATGCCAGAGACCATAGCTGTTCTCCTGGGCCAACTCTAGGAAGGGAAGAAGGCATGGAGAATTCTCTGGCCCACAGTCTCTTCTGATTCCATGTCTCTGGATATATGGCTTAACTCCTGTGAGCCTCAGTTTCGTTGGGTGGGCATGTGTCTTTGTAGATGCATGTATGTGGAGGTCAGAGGTCAACTTTGGGTGCATTTCCTTTTTGCTGCTCTCTGCCTTATTTTGACACAGAGTTGGTTGTTGTCCTGGAACTCACCAATTGGTTAGACTGGCCAGAAAGCCCCAGGGGTATTTCTGTCTCCCTCTCCCCACTTCTGATATTATTTTACATGGGTTCTGAGGGTCAAATTCCCATTTGCAATGCAAGTACCATACTGACTGAGTCATCTCCTTAGCCTAGACTCAGTTTCTTAATTGGCAAAGAGGGATAAACATAGCTACTACTGAAGATTACAGTGACAATCAGGAAGAACATGCAGAGGGCGTGGAAGTAGTAGGCTTTGCACATGTAGACAGTTACAGGTGGAGTTAAGGAAGTAACTGTTGAAGTTAGGAGAACCAACTCATGTTGCTGATTTCTCAGCTCCCCTCCCTGCCGTGCTCCTGGGCACTCTGCAGTGCTCCCCTCCCTGCAGTGCTCCCGGACACTCTGTAGTGCTCCCCTCCCTGCAGTGCTCCTGGGCACTCTGCAGTGCTCCCCTTCCTGCAGTGCTCCCCTCCCTGCAGTGCTCCCCTCCCTGCAGTGCTCCTGGGCACTCTGCAGTGCTCCCCTCCCTGCAGTGCTCCTGGGCACTCTGCAGTGCTCCCCTCCCTGCCGTGCTCCTGGGCACTCTGCAGTGCTCCCCCTCCCTGCCGTGCTCCTGGGCACTCTGCAGTGCTCCCCTCCTCCATGCTCCTGGGCACTCTGCAGAGCTCCCCCACCCTATGCTACTGGTACTCTACGATGCATACCCCCCTACCCCATGCTTTTGACTCCTGGGTGCTCTGCAGGGCTCCCCACGATGCCACATGTTTCCCGAGCACTCTGGTGACTGCCATCAATGTCACGCACACTTGGAAACTGCTGTATAGGTCTTTGTTGTCTGGGTTTTCGACAGGGCTGAGAAGTTTCTTCATATGTTCGAGCAGAGCCGAGAATGAACTCACAGAGTGGCTGTTGGGAAGGTGATTTTTTCGGAAACAACTTGATCTGTGTAACTCCAGCACAGGCAGGGCAGTTGCAGCTACAGCCAGCTTCCAGGTTTCTACCCCTGCCGTGAGCCGGTGTGAGTAATTCAGTAAGCACTGCGTCACCTTGTCATACATAGTTCTCTACGAAGTATGCGCATCTTCGAAGTGTCTGTAATCCTTCCTGAAGCCTGAGGATGTGGATCACTTATACGGTGCAAAATGCAGGTGCACGGAAGGCATGCACATTCCAGGTGCATTTGCTTGGCGAGATGACCGAGTAGGAGAGTGGCGGGGTCTGGGGCTGTAGCTCAGCCGGTAGGGTGCTTTCTCTGCACACATGAAGCCCTGGGTTTAGCCCCCAGCACCACATAAAACAAGGTGTGGTGGCTC